GTCCTTCCCCAAAGTAAAGTAGACCCATTACATTGATGATGTAATGCTGACCTGTGAAGTTTGGCCTCTGCTGGGGGGACACTCTGCAGGCTTTGCTGGGACATCTGTTTTGTGTTGTTGTTGTTATTTTGGTATTCTCTACACCTAACATGGGGCTCAAACTCATGACCCCAAGATCAAGAGTCACATGCTCTAACAACTGAGCCTGCTGGAGCATCTGTGGGGAAGGGGATGGGCAGTGAACCCACAGAAAATCCAAGGCCCAGCCATAAGGTTTCGGGAGTAGTCTGGTCAGATAAGACTCGGGTTGTCCCACACGCTGTGATCCATGAGGTACACGCTTATCCGATCGCTAAGAATGTGAAAGAGGTGCACATCTTTGCAGGGATTTTGGAGTCTGGAGGGCTTTTATTCCCCACCTGGCACAGAGCCTCTGACCCTTACACTGTCTGGTCAAGAAAGGGCACATGTGGGCAGGGGTCAGAGCAACAAGCCGCCTTTGAGAAAGCAAAACTATGAGTGAAGCAGATCAAAGCTCTGGGCGTCTCCCAAGCAGGGCTGCCACTGAGTTAGATGTGTCTGGAACTCCAGAAGGTATGGGCTGGGCACTGTGGCAGAAAGAACACCCAAGGAGAGAGCACCCCTGGGATATGGGTCTCAGCTACGAAAGGGGCTAGAAGCCAGCATACCCGAGTAGAGCACCAGCTTCTAGCAGGTGCACACAGCGCTCCTCCGGGTAGAGCCTCTCACACAGCAGCCCGAGGGCTGAGCTCAGAGCCCGCGGCCTGGCTAGTGATCCCTCATGAGCCCTGGCTGCTAACCCTTTGCACTGATGACCCCAACAGTGGGAAGCCAAGGGATGGATGATCATGAGTAAGGCTTTATGGGGTCAGGATATGCAGCAACACATCTGGCATCTGGGGGCATCTGCAAGAGCTTGAGGCAGTCCTCACTGTCTTCCATGTCCAGGCTCATGAGGCGCTGACCCCCCAGGCAGCTCGGAAGCTGATGCCCTAGCTTGGTAAGAGCCCTAACTACTGGCTCTTCAGTAGACATGGCGGGTTGGGCGCACAGAACAAGTGGCACCGCAGTGCCCAAGGTAGAGGGTGGATTGGCAAGAATGCTGGCTTGCCCTTGAAGTACAGTGACATAGTCAACGCAGTGACCGCATGTCCGTGTGTTCTTGACGATGCCCAAGGTGACCACCAAAGGAGTTTGGGGCCATCCACCAGAGTTCCCAGCCCACGAGAGATTGGCAAGTTGGTCCTGTTGGGCCATCCTTCTGAGCAAGGGCTCTTAATATGTCTGGGTTTGTGGACCCTGCGTGTGGCCTTGCACCAGCTTGCCCCTGTCGCCATGCAAACCAAGCTGCAAGCATTAGGGGGGAAGAAAAACGACTGTGGATAGACACCCTCATCAGCGAGACAGCCATCAGGGGCCACGTTTCAAAAATCACGACATGCTAGACTGGGCAATAGAACGTGACGTTGAACAGAGGTTCTGTCTCCCCTATAACACACAAGCAGCAGGGCTGGTAGAAAGAAAACACAGAATATTAAAGGGGCAGATCAAGTTAGTAACAATGATGGGGAGGACTAAAGTTCTGTCCCAGTCTTGCACACACTTGAATGATCAACCATAGGGCCTGTTGCCCAGATGCTAGCCCGGGGAGGAACCCGCCGCTGTAAAGGTACGGAAGTCATGGGAGGCGGCCAGTACCCCGACTCTCACCAGGTGTGACTGCACTGTGTGCTGAGAACACCAAGCCCCATCACGTCCGGGAAAGGAGTTACCTACTGAAATGGGATATCCCGCTGGGATGGATGAGTTACTTGGTACTGCTGGGTGATGGGGAAGTACCTGATCTCCACTGGGATCTGTGGTCAAGACCTGTTGAAATGCACCACTGAGGGCGCTGGGTGGCCCAGTCGTTAAGCATCTGCCTTCGGCTCAGGTCATGATTCTGGAGTCCTGGGACCGAGTCCCGCATGGGGCTCCTTGCTTAGTGGGGAGCCTGCTTCTCCCTCTGTCTGCCACTCCCCCTGCTTATGCTCTCTCTCTCTGACAGATAAATAAAATCTTAAAAAGAATAAATTGCTAGAAAAAAAATATGGACTAAAAAAAAAAAATATTGACTATCTACTGTGTGAGCCAAGCACTGCTCTAGGGTCTTAACACTGAACAAAACCATCAATTCCTGACCCCACGGAATGTATTTGTTGGTTCGAAACCACCTAGGGAGCTTCCCAGGCGAAATCTGAAGCCAGCCCACTCATGCAGAAGGCAGGGAAGAGGAGGAAGGCTGCGCACTCCAGGCTGGTAGGTGGCAGATTTGCAAGCACAGGGGACTCACACGCAGGCTTGTCTTGGGTGGCAGCAGGATGAGTGGATCCTTGTACTACTTGCCACATCACAAAAGTTTATAGAGAGGCCTTCACCAGGCTCAGGCGCGTCTGCCGTGCAGGTGTTTTTTTTTTTTTTTTTAATTTTATTTTATTATGTTAATCACCATACATTACATCATTAGTTTTTGATGTAGTGTTCCATGATTCATTGTTTGCGTATAACACCCAGTGCTCCATGCAGAACGTGCCCTCTCTAATACCCATCACCAGGCTAACCCATCCCCGCACTTTCCTCCCCTCTAGAACCCTCAGTTTGTTTTTCAGAGTCCATAGTCTCTCATGGTTCATCTCCCCCTCCGATTTCTTCCCCTTCATTCTTCCCCTCCTGCTATCTTCTTTTTTTTTTTTTTTTAACATATAATGTATTATTTGTTTCAGAGGTACAGGTCTGTGATTCATCAGTCTTACACAATTCACACGCTCCCATAGCACATACCCTCCCCAGTGTCCATCACCCAGCGTGCAGGTGTTTTCAATACCACCTCCCGGTGTCAAGGCTACGCCCGGGAGCAGCCTCTGGGAGCGGGAAAGGCAAGCACGAGCCACGTTCCAAGCACAAGGAAGGGAAGGGAGGAGCCTCTGACTGCACCAGGTCGAGCTCCCAGGCAACCCGCGGTCACCTCTTCTGGATGAGCTTCCCCAGCCCCCACCCCTCGTGACCGTTCTTACCGTCTCACCAGCCCCCCTCTTCCGTGACGGGCCCTGAGCGGTCAGCAGGGGTTTCACGGGCGCGCTGCCGCCGGACACTGGAGCAGATTCCCCAGCCACAGCTCGGGCACACGCAAGAGAAATCACTGATTCGGAAGATGATTCCCAAAAGCAGTGACACGTTTTTCTACAAGAGCCTCTGATCTGAATTGCTGATTTACAAGCTGGAGGTCGGATCGTTCAGGGTGTTCCTTTGTGTCACGTGATTTAATAAAGCTGGCACATTAGCAGACTCATCGGATACACACACACAACGTTCTATTTGGATAACGTAGAGTCCTTTCAGTATTCAGTAAGGACAGGCTTGGTCGGCTAGTATTTAAGACTTGCTGGGTGACTTATTTTTTTTCTTAAAGATTTTATTTATTGGAGAGAGAAAGAGCACAAGCAGGGGGAGTGGCAGAGGGAGAAGCAGACTCCCTGCTGAGCAAGGAGCCTGATGCGGGACTTGATCCCAGGACCCCAGGATCATGTGAGTTCAAGCCCCATATTGGGAGGTGTAGAGATTACTTAAAAATAAAATCTTAAAAAAAAAAAAGAACTGGAAATAAAATACCACAAGGGTTAGTCTTTCTCACTTTTGCCTTCCTGGATTCTATTCTTAACTGGCTGTTTGACCTTAGACAAGTCACTTAACCTCTCTGTTCCAGCATTGTCTCATAGAACTTTCTATAATGTTAGTCATGTTCTCTATCTGCAACATCCATTACAGTGGCCACTAGCCCAATAAGCTCCTATTTGAAATGTGGCCACTGCAACTGAGGAACTGAATTTTAATTTTAATGAATTTAAATGTAAGTAGCCACATGTGGCTAGTGGCTATCTTACTGAGCAGTGTAGGTTTGTTTCATCATTGGATGGAGGAGGTGGTCATGAGTATATGGAGCACCCAGCTGGCAAAGACAGGCACTCCACGCATGCTCCCCTCACCCCTGCCCCGTGCTGCTGCACGAAGCTGACCTGATCAAAGGCACAGTCAGGTAGGGGGACCAGAGTACATTTTTAAGGGCAGGTTTGGAGAGAGGACACCCATAAGGACCTTATGAAGTAGATGAAATAAAAGCTAGCATTCAGGATATTTCCCATATGTGGATTTGAATGATCACATTTTTTTTTAAAGAATTTTATTTTTAAATATTTTATTTGACAGAGAGAGCGCACAAGCAGGGAGAGCAGGAGAAGCAGACTCCCTGTTGAGCAGTGAGCCTGATGCAGGGCTCGATCCCAGGACCCTGAGATCATGACCTGAGCCTAATGATCACATTTTTGATGCTTTCAAACTGCTCAGAAGAGCCTCGGAAATCCTTAGAAGTGCTTTGGGATGGGTGCAGAGTCTTGCACATGGGATCTGAGCAATAGACTTCTCTCTCACTCTGCACTTGGCTGCCTTTCAGGTTGGGTTTCTTCTGCTACAGAGTTTGAAATTAATTTAAATCTCCTAGAAGCACACCTTGGAAATACTGTCCATGCATGTGAACCACAATCAGCCTGGCACCAGCAGATAGGATGCAGCTCAGTTAAACTAGTGCACAAACCCGTAAAACTGTAGTGTCCCAGGCTGAGTTCTGAAAACCCAAATATCTCATGGTTCTCTGGAGCTCAAATCTTTAAAGTCACAGATTCCTGCACTTTTGACTCATCCAGATTTAATAACAAACATTGAAGCCTCATCTTTTTTTTTTAATTCAAATACAATTGCCTATGTTCTATAGAATGACACAAATTAAAGATCAAATGTGGACGTATTTCAGAGACTTGACTTGAAAAACCAAAGACTGCTCTAAGTGCATTAGCGAGGCATAAATACCACTCAGCAGTGATCATGAGAGAAGAAAAATAGGAAAGAAAGAACAAAGATGTTCCAAGACAGTCTTCAAAGACACCCCCAACTTCGCCGGAGTGCTGTAAAAGCCCCCTTAGACTCTGTAGTCCTCCACGGGTGAAGGAGGAGGGGCAGGGGGTTCTGCAGGGCCGGCCACGCTAGCAGGGACTTGCTCCAAATCCAGAGTGGAGGGCATCTCCCTGGCTTCATCAGTTTTCTTGGTAAATCTCTCTTCTCTGGGAGGAAAGGCACAGTGAATGTTTTTTAAATACACATAGAATTCTTTAAAAAAAAAAAAAAAAAGAAAAAAGAAACCCTCAGATCCCAGCACCTAAAGAGAACCACTCAACACGTTGAAGGACATCCTTCCTGACTCCTCCACCCAGGCTTACAGAGCTATCAGCTGGCAAAATGGAGATGGACTCTGTTCATGCTTCAATTGTCAGCTCTTCTCAGAGCTCAGCTGTCTCCTCCCCTGGCCCCGTGGGTCCAGCCCTACCAGTCTGCACCCTGTAATTTCAGCTGAGTGCAGGCTCTCTCTCTCTCTCAAGGTTTCGTTTGCATTTCAGCTATTCTCTGGTCAGCTTTTTTTTTTTAATATTTTATTTACTTATTTGGGGTTTGGAAGGGCAGAGGACGAAGAGAGGGAGAATCCGAAGCAGACTCCCCACTGAGCACAGAGCCCAGTGCGGAGCTTGACCTCATGACCCGGAGATCATGACCTGAGCCGAAACTAGGAGTCAGTCGTTCAACCGACAGAGCCATGCAGGCACCCCTGGCCAGTTCAGCCTTAAGTTCACTTTGCCTCTCCTTTCTGCCTAACTTACCCCTGCGGCCCCCCAAGGCTGCAGGCTATCCTACCCTTCTCTGGGGTCTGCCAGGGTGTTCCCATCCTCCTCAGGACTGGGCTAACCCCATCTTCAAGAGGAGAGGACTGGCCTGTCAAGCGCTTAAAGAGTCAGGAACGTGGAGCTAGAAACTTCAGACCTGCAGATTCACAGCCACACCTGATGATAAGCTTCTCAGCTGAGGAGGAGATAGAAGGGGATTTCCCCGGGTCACGTGGCTAGTAAAAGGAATCCAGGCTCCGATCTCCTGACCACGAGTTCACCACTGCATCTCCCAGTCAGAGCTGACCCCTAATTTTGCTGAAAGGATAGGAGGTGCTGGGGAGGGGGGTTAGGGGAGGCTTCAGAGTTGTGGAATCTCTTCCTTCTTCAGCAGATGCTGCTGCAGAGTGACCATGACCCCCCAGAGACAAGGCCCACTTTCATGAGATCAACCAGGGGTGTCAAATCTGCCATGTACTCCTGTCCGTGAAAGTTTGCAACATCCCGTATCTAGATAAGACATTGTGCCTAAGGTGTGTTATCAATTCGCCAATGTCGTACATCCCCCCAAACTCTAAGGTCAAGAAGCATTGTGAGTAATACTGGATGGAGGTCCATATTTCAAGTCAATTTTTATTTTTTGGCCAACTACGTATCAGTTTTAATAAAGTCATTATTCTTACGTTCATACTGTACCTGACAAAGAACTCAAACGAAAAGTGTCAGCTCTGCCAATTTTTGTTGCTTACTCACACTTGGCATTATTAGAATGATTTCAAGCCAGGTTTCTTGGCAGAAATTTTGTTAGGCTTCCTGTCTCTTTTGAGGGTTCCATTCATTGAGACTAGATAACATAACTTGTAAATCCACTTAACCAACACAAGAAGTAAATTGCAACATATTGGCATTTGCTGCGAGTGGAGTGAAGAAGCCCCCCCCCCTCGCTTCCTCCAGCTTGTAGCTCCCATCCCCCCACAGGAAAGCCTCAGACTTGACCCCTGACCACCTGACACACAGCAAGTGAGCTGCAGCTAACTGGACATCAATTTCAGTAGAGCTCGGTTTTCATAGAAATTGGGAGTCCTAATCTTTTCTTTCTGCACCTTTATATAGCAGAGGTCTTGGGCACCCGACTAGATCTGGGGATCTAGACCAGAGAGAGGACGGGGCACTCCACAGGGGCCATCATGGGCTCGTCAGAGTTAGCAAATCAAAACACAAGGTGCCCGGTGAAATTTGAATTTCAGATAAACAACAACTGATTTTTTACTCTAAGCATATCGCAAATATTGCGCAGACATCCTTAGGCCAAAAAACGTTTTTGTTGTTATTTAAAATTCAAATTGCACCAGGCCCCCTATATTTTATCCACTAACCCTACCATCAAGAGAGGGTGTCAGGCAGTGGGGGTTCAGAGCGGCTGCAAAGCTTCTCCTCAGGACCAGACCGGCTGCGGGCATCTCTTCCAAAGAGCCCCCGTACTGGGCTCCAGGGCTGCAGGGTTGAGGGGGAGGGAAATGCCTGCCTGCAGGGAGCTTACGGCCTAGTTGGGAATGAGAGTCCAGGCTGTCCCCAAACTTTGCAAAGTCATGCATTTTTATACTGGGAGGGTGCATCACCACTTCTGTCCAATGACCAAAGCGATCCCCACCCCCCGATGAAGAGCCACTGATCTGAAATTCATCCCAGCACCCTTCTCATTGTCTGTTGGAGGACCACATGAATCTACTTCCCAAGGTGGGTGACAAAGAGGTTTTTCACCCATAAAATCGGCCTTGAAGCAACAGACGAACACGTGTGAGCACGTTTATGCAGACCAGTGTTTCCTGCAGTTTCAGGCATCTGGTGGGGATCGGCCGCTCCATCCCCCCACCCCGCGCCCTAAGTGCGCCAGAGAGCTCTCAAGTACCTGGTGGCCATGGTGACTCTGCGCCTGGTCACCTCGGAGGCCAGGTCTCCGTAGGGCAGGTTATTGCCATTGACCGTGGGGCTCTTCTGAGCCATGGGCTTGCACTCAGAGGACTCAAGGAATCTGGGTTCACGGCAACTATGAATCTAAAATACAAGCGCCAGTAAACGGACTTCAGGGGGCAGGCGTGGGTCCAGCACAGCACGTCCGCTGTCCCGTTCTCAGCGGGGCCTCCCTACAGCCCCAGTCCCACCGGGCAAAAGACAGATATTTCTTCAAAATCAAGGGCAGTTACCCTGACCCCCCCAGGGTAAAAGCTCAGGACATGGAGGCCCAGAGAGGTGCCGGCTCTCTCCCCACGTCGCACAGCTGGGCCCTGTCCCGTACTGCTTCCCCCCTAACAGGTGCTCCTCCCATGGAGCCCTCCCCGCCCCAGGGCCATTTGGCATCTCTGACACGTGTGGGGCTTTCTTCCCAGAGCGCTTACCTTCTAAAGAGCAGGAAACTATATGCTGGCTAATTGAACGTAATAATAATAAAAATAAATTAATTAAAAAAAAAACGAACAGGAAAGGGCCATGCGCCAAGCTGGGGCTGACAGATGTGCACGTGGGAGACACTGGGGGCTTGATGCTGACAACAAAGGTTATAGCAGCCACCCACTCAGGGCCGGCTACCCTGGGGTGCCCTTTTCCGTTATCTTCTTGGAGAACCACAGTAACTGTGCAAAGGAGGCTCTGGGACCCCCACTGAAGGAATGGGGAAACTGAGCCATGGAGGAATGGGGTAGCTTCCCCAGGGGCCCAGAGCTGGAATCTGAACCTAGGCCTGCCTGGCTTCAAAGACTCCACTGCGGAGCCAAGCGACCCTCCAGTTCGGCCCCGGTGACTGGACATCGCTAAGGAAGAGGTGAGGCGTCTCCGACCCTGGACCCCCAGCACACTCTCGAGGTGACCCTGTGGCACGAATGACGAGCGCCTGAGCTCCCCAGCCTGATCTTCTGGCTGGAAAAGTTTGTTCTTAGGAAGATGCCCGATGGATTTACCTTCGATCCCCGCTCAGCTCAGTTTGGGGCCCCTTCCACGCTTGAGCTCATGGTCTCGGAAAGAAATGCCCCCGTTATAGACTCTGGATCCACATGTCAGCTATGCCACCTCCTCAGAGGAGGAAAAGACCAAAAATGCCACCACCGTCAGCTCCCGCTTCTTCTTTTATCCCCGTGGCGTCAGGCTCTCTCGGGAGCTGGCGTTAATGGGATTGATTTGCCCCTTGGAAGGTCGCAGCTGACACAAATTTTCCCTGCAGACGTGACCTCGATGAGGAATCCCCACAGATGTGGGGAGAAGATGGGTCTTGAGTGCAGAGCCGGGAAGGGCGACGAGGAAGCCCCCGCCTTAGACGCTGGTAAGTGTGACATCTAATGGCCACGGTTTCAAAAGCCAAGAATTCCCGGGCACCCCTCCTCCCAGCACCGTCCTTGCTCCCGACTTCCTGATGATTCACAGCACGTCTGCGGAGAGGGCAGGTGCTTCGGCTTTGGAACGGAAGGCACTGATTTCAAGACTCTCACTTTTGAGCTGAGTGATCCTGGGTAAGTGATTTAATGTCTGTGAGCCTCGGTTTTCTTACCTGTAAAAGGGAAGTAACTTACACTCTTTCTCCTAGGGCAGTAGTGACGGGTGAGAAAATATTTGCAAAAATCCCTCATTTTACCTTTTTTTTTTTTCCATTTTAAAATGTTTAAATATCTGCCCCAGGATATATATAAATGAATAAATATATTTAGCTCCAGGATGAATATGAATCTGTGCGTATACATAGATTGCCCCTCATATAATGCCAGGAATGTAAGCCTTTTCCTCACAAACATACTTTTTGAAAGCGGGAGCTCCACTTTTCCCCTTCCCTCCTATCCCAGGGCCTGGCAGAGCATTGAGATCCTAGTGGGAGCCCAGCAATGATTTACCCTGAGTCAGAATCTGCGACAGCACTGTGTTCCCATCTGTTTCCTTCGGCCATATGACTACCCACGTCTCTAAACTGTGTAGGGTTTTCAAAGTGTAAACAAATGTGTGCATGGTGTTTGAATATGGCAGAAGCAATTATTGCACACCGACTCCAGAACGGACACAGTGACCATACCGATTTCTTTTTTTTTTTTTTTAAGATTTTATTTAGTTATTCATGAGAGACAGAGAGAGAGAGGCAGAGGGAGAAGCAGGCTCCCAAGGAGCAGAGAGCCCGATGTGGGACTCGATCCCAGGACCCTGGGATCAT